AAAGAGGTCGAGCCGATTCCTTACATATATCAGCGGCAATAAGTAAGAATAGAATTTTACATATGAAAAAGAATCCACAATTTCAGCTTAAGACGAAATCATTTTGCTGGAGAAAAGTGTAGGGTTTCAAAGTTATGAAGCGTGATTAAGTGTGTAACATGAACTATTTAAAATTTAATTTTTTATTAAGATTTGCGGTGTATGTACCTACAGTAATAAACTGTTCATCTGTCAAAGAGTAAAAATCAATCATAAGTTGGTCATTTAAGTATGAATTTGTATCTACTTTTTCCTCGCAAAATGGGCGTGGTGATTTTTGGCCTTGAATACACGAGTTTCTCCAAGTGTAGGATTTCCCGAGTAGAAATCACTGTGTCGAATTCTGCAGTAATCGACAAAAGCTGGATGCATATTGTATTCTGCATATTTTTTTGGTACACAAAATTCCTGTCGGTTTCATTCTTCAGAAGTGTGTGTGCATAGCTGTACATAATTTTCCATACCAATCGCTCTACATACGTATAAAATTGGGTAAAATTTCAAGCCGTTAAATTTTTTACTCGGGAGAGTTCGAACCCTGTCTCAGCAACTTGGAAATCTTCATCAATCAATCCCACTTGACTTTCTCTTCGCCTCCATCCGTTTTGATCAGTGCAGATAAAACCGGAGAAAACCGGTCTAAACGAAAACTTCTACATACATGACTTATTCCACTTTGGAGAAAGCTATAGAAATTAATAAGTTTGAAATGTGTGATCAATCCAATCCTTGAAATTCATAAGTGTTTATACTATTTTGTACTATTTAGAGTACTATTTTTTCAAGCAAAAATCTCCCTCGCGTCTTTCTGAATGTATTTTTGCCTTCTTACTCTCGTAAAAATGTAAAAATGCGTATTATTTTGTCTACCAAAACTCTACACAATTGCAGTAACACACATCTTTCATAGTGATAGTTAGAAGATCACATAATTTGATAATTACAGACTTTTCAAGGTTTAACCTAACGCCGAACTTTGTATGGTTTCGTTTCTATTAAATTTAAATTAGATACCAAAATATGATGAAATAGGGGCTGCATTTCGAAATGAAATTCTATTTATTAACGAGTCAGTCATAGCCGGATCACTATTAAATCAGGATGGCAAAAGTTAGCCAACTTTGCCAACATTGTTTAAAGATCAAGAGTTTGTTCATAAAAAAATCAGAAATCTATAAAATGAAAATATTTCCCGAAAAACTTAATAATACTTAATTGTTCTTCTATCTTCTTCTCTTCTTCTAAACCGCACTTTCTCTTTCCGTCTATGTCACTTTCACTTTTTACTTTTCTGTGTCTCACACCAAATACGCTGTTGCTGCTGGATATGCGGCTACTGGCTGGTCTTATCCTTGTTTTATTTTTTTTACTTATCTCCTTGTTTCCGTGATGTTTATAATTTACTTAAAAAAATTCACGTTCAACACAAGCAGCAAGTTAAAAACGAATAAATATTTAGCTGTACTAAATCACGACGCGTTAATGTTCTATTTTAGCGACGATGTATTAATTAAGAAATGTGAACCCTACAAAATTAATGATTCGTCGCACAATACGTGTTTAAATATATAATGTGATGGGTATTCACGTCAACTTCGTAAACGTCGCTTTGTAATTTATCTTCGCAGCTGCATAAAATTTGGCTATGGCAACCGATCAGATTGCTTTATTTTTTTTACGAAATATGTGAAATAAGAGGGAATTTATTTACGGTGAATTTTAATTCTAGAGGTGAGTCGGGTCAAGGGTCAGCCCGGTAAAACCCGACCCCCCCGTAACCAAATCGGGTTTGTGGGGTCGGATTTAAAAATTAACCGAGTCAGGTTTTCAAAATGTCACCCAACCCATCTCTAATTTTGAAAATACTATTTCTATTTAGATTATATAATTCACGAAACCGATTTCACGAACATTGCAAACTTTCGAAGATGTGCTGCAAAGCGAGGTTTTTAAGTGACGTGAAAACCCAAAATATTTCCATCATGCCGTTCTGCTCGTGCTGCTGCTGTTGCAAATTGTGTCCTTGTTACACCGTAAGCGCTTTCGAAACTGTGGAATTGCACAATGGCAAGGATAATAATATTTGTTGGTATTGATATAATGACACACAACTGAATTAAGCTGCGTAATGGCTGCCGCACAATACGTACAATAAATACGACCCACTCAACTTTCACTAATAAGCTTTCACTTTTATTCTCTTTCACACCGTACCCACTCGAAAACAAGCTGTCATCCGGGCCTTTTGCAGGGTTGAAATTCCCTACCAAAACCTAGACTTGTCCCGAGTTATTCATACGTTCGGGGAGAAATGATTGGTAAGAAGACAGACCAAATTATTACCAAGCTTGGTAATAAAGACAGAATTGCGTACCTGGTTATAGACGTGACCCTATCGACTTTGGTGGTCGTGTGCTTACTTCCACCGAGCTAGTAATGAGTAATTTACCTTCGGTGGTGTATGATTACCGTCCGGTAGAGCCACATATATATAGTTACCGGTCGGTAATGATCCGGTGATAAAATTTGTTAGAGTTTAGAGTACATTTTAATAATTTGTTAGAGTGTAGATTACGTTTTAATAACTTAATCCTCTTTTTGTCTCTATTTCTCTCTGACGTTGTTGTTCGTGGTTGATACAAAGGTGAGATTAAATAATTAGGAAATAATACCGGGAAAGGTTTGTATTTAGAAATACGGTTATAATTTCAGTAATGAGTATGAAATTGAGAATCGCTTTACCACAATTTACTCCCTGATTGAAGAAAAGAGCTATACGTACGTAATTCAGTGTAGGGAAAGTTGGAGAGATTTTTTTTTCTGTTGGGAAAAATGAAATATTGTTGGAGAGAGAGAAAGGGCAAATGTTTGGTGTCAAGTAGGTTTTCATATATGTTTGCTCTAACGAGGCGTAACTACCCTGTCAACTTTACTGTCCGGATGACGAATTTTTGTGGGATTTTCTCCGCTGGAAGGGGAAGGATTTCATGGTGAAAGTATGCACTCTCCTTGAAAAGAAATGGATTGCTGGACTTTCTCCGTCCGCTTTGTTCTCTTTCTCTCCACTCTACTTTCCGCTCAGACTTTCTCTCTCTCTCAGCATGGTCAGCCATACCTTTTCACCAGAGTTGAGTCGGATACCCGTTTTTTGGATAACCTGTGCCCTGATCAGATCCGATTTCATCGGGTATCTTTTTAAATGTAAAGAAATGGATCAATATTTTTCTAAATCCGAGAAGCGAATCGAACAGTCTTTTAAATTCAAGAATCGGATCGGATATTCCTGAAAACACAAGCAAGGATTAGGTCGGATAATTTTTTGAAAATCGAAGAACGGATTGTGTTGGACCGGATATTTTTGAAAATCCGTAAAATAGATTGGGTCGTAATCTCTTCAAAATAAAAAACTGATCGGCTCCTACCGGGTTTTCAGAAACGTTGATCTGACTCAACTCTGCTTGGCTACCTTATACCATATCTTATTTACTTGAGTAGGTCAAAGTTCACGGTGATGCATACGTATGAAAAAAAATATGGTTATGAATTTTTGAAATTTAAAACTTTCCTAAAATTTGGCAAACTCTCACCAAAACTAGTCGATCGACCACCCAGGACGAATTTACGCGAATTAGTTTCTCGAGTTAACTTTGTGCTCGATAAATGAATAAATATTTTTTGCATTTATTCTTCTTCTTCCTCTTCTGCTCGTGACATGAGGATGCATCGCTTACTGGCTGAAAAATCTCCGTTTCTGAACATTGAAAATTACGAAAAATTGAAGTAACTGCTTTCACCATGCTTTCACTAACTTCCACTAATTTATCTGCTATGCTGTGCTATTCCTCGAATTTGTGGAGTGGTGATGTGTAGTTCTGCCGATTTTGCTCTTAAAAATAATGCTATTTTTAAGAGTGCATTTACCTCATCGATAACAAATTATTACGGTAAACCTACACATCCCCACTTTTCAAGTTCTCACCCTAACCTAGCCAACATACTTGTCTATTTAGCTCGAGCTTTACGTAATCATGCCGAACAATGGCTTACTCCTGGTTAAGTATGAGCGCGGTGGTTGGTGTGAAATGTGCATGAAATTAGAGTGTTATGCTGACGAGAATTATGTCACCACAGCCACCACCGCCATGAATCGTCTCTCTCTTTCTCTTGCTTTCACTCCCTTTCACCTTTCCCCACCAACCAACCAAATAATATTCACCACTGCATCTTGTTCTTCTTCCTTCCTTTCTCTCTCTCTTTTGTCTCGTCTCTTGTACTCTCTCTCTCTCTCTCAACCTGAACAATACCCTCACCACCACCACCACTTATGTCTACACAACACATACTTTTTGCAGTAAAATTGCTACCTGTCGGTGAGAATAATTTGGAAATATTTCATGTTTCTTCTCGTTCCTTTCTAAATTTTGTATTCCAAGGAAAATTAGTTTTACTGAGAGAGATATTTTTGCATGTACTCTACATTCAGGGAGAGTTGAACTTTTATGGAAATTGAGAATTCTGAGAAATTACGGCACTGCCAGTCTCAAAGTCTTTAGAAAGTATGATTTGAGGGAATTTGAGACCAGAAGTGGCGTAGTTCCTTAATTTCTGTAAAAGTTCGACTCTGTATGAATGGAGGGTAGGTTGTAATTTTGCAGCAATTTTGTAACCAAATGAACCCAAATCGCACTATTTCGTATCTTGTTTAGTCTCCGAAACGGAAACTTTCTCCCCGTACTTTCACCCACAGATGACGCAATTCTTTATCTTTTTCTCTATTTACACTACAATTTCGGATACAACTAACACAAACACCGTCACCTTCTTCCCAAAACTTTCTCCTGTTAAACCCACCGAGTCCCTATTTTTCACTCTTTCCTATTTCATAGTTTTTATGAGTGGGAAAAGTATGACAATTTTATAACCCGGTTTTTTGCCGCCTCGTTTTACTTCTCCCTCTGCAGGAGTACAGCGTCCAGCTAACTTTCAGAGAACAATGGCTCGATGACAGGTTGCGGTTCGACCATCCAAATAGTAAGTGACACATGTTAATTTACAGTACAATCCAGGGTGAAAGTAAGCAATTGCCAGAAATAACGGGAAGAAAGTGGGTTCTTGTAGGTAGTTATTTTGACCAGCAAGAAATTCAAGGCAAAAGAAACTACGCCCCGACGCCATGGCGCGAGGCGGGATGGCGCATATTTTTTGCAATGTCTTGCAATTTCTTGCCCTTCACAAGAACAGAAAGACTGGGACAACCATTTCCTCAATTTTAATAATTATTTATTTTAATTTTCAAGGTAAGCTGAACGCCACGAATTTACGGTATCTCACGTTAACGGACTCTGCACGAGTGTGGATGCCGGATTTGTTCTTTTCAAATGAGAAGCAAGGTCATTTGCATAACATTATCATGCCAAACGTCTACATCCGGATATTTCCTAATGGCGAAGTCCTCTACAGTATTCGGTGAGTGAGAGGGAAATTACACCATCTCCAGCAAAATCAAAAGTCGGGGATGAATTATTGATCAAGTGGGGATAGGGTTGCGTCAAAATGGAAGAAAATCACACCGTGACATCTCTTCAGTGGGGTACGAATTTGGGGGACGTCAATTTCGCGAAAATGTGATCATTTTTAGCTGTGGCCCCGAGTAGAAATTACTGTCTCGAATTCTGCGGTAATTTACGAAAGCTCGATGCATATTGTATTTTCGTAATTTTTTTTACGCAAGCCTGCACACAATTTTTACCGGTTTTTATATTATGCAGAACCGTAATTCTACAGTACGTTGTATACTTTTTGTATATAATCCTGCCGAAAATTTGTATGAGATTTATTCTGCAGAATCATATGCGCATAATTACACATAAGCTTTAGTTTTCTGAATCGATCATCCCGCATAAAGGTTTTGTGCAGAAAATTGGGCCAAATTTCTGTAAGAAATTTTTGTCGCATAATCCTCCAGAAAATTGCTGAATTTAACCCACAAATCGCCCTGCATACAATCTTACTGGAGAAAAGAGGGTCAAATTTCTGCAGAAAATCTGCCCAAATTTTGACTAGGTTAATAAACTGGGTGAAATGTGCAGTATATATTTCACGACAAGCACACTGTGTCCTTAGAACGACCTGATTTATTATTTGCATGCATATGACGTGTCCCAATCCATCTCGCCCCAAAAGGGCAAACCCACGACCGAGTCATAAATGTCACGGGATGCAAATGACTTTCTCCTTGGGAAGAACCAGTCGCGAATTTAAAGCTGACATGATTTTCGTTTCTGTATTATTGTCATTTGTTTGCAGAATCTCGCTCACACTTTCCTGCCCCATGATTCTGAAGCTCTACCCGCTCGACAAGCAGACGTGTTCCCTCCGCATGGCTAGCTGTAAGATTACCAGATTCACTCTATAATTACCACAGGGCGGGTATGTATGTATTTACGAAAAATTGCGGAAATATGTATGTATTTAATAATTCCGAAAAATGCCAAAATATGTATGAAATGTGTACCGAAAAAAACAGAAATACGAATTTTCACAAGATTTGTATTTTTGAAAATATGCCATGCTTTGAATTTTTGCAATCCAATTTCTTCAAAGCAAAAATAATCGTTTCTTCATTGAAATATTTTCAAAACATGAACATATTTTTGAAAAAAATATGTAAGATTTTCGTATTTTTCAAATAATAGCGGAATTATTTATATGTCTGAAAATCTAGAAATATGAAAAAATATTTTGAAATTTTTATGATGTATGTAAGAGTTAGGCTACACACGCACAAAGTTTGACCGTTGGTGGTTATCAAATGAAAAAGTTGAAAATAAATACATATCCGCCCTCTGATAATGAATAATTAGCCAATGCTACATAATTATGTAACGTTAATTTATGTTTTCCAACGTAGCCATTACTTATTTTGTAAATTCAGGTGTAAACTCTAGTGCAATTTTTTATAGATGGGTGGACGACTGAGGATTTAATATTCAAGTGGAAACCACTGGACCCCGTCCAAGTCACGTCGGACTTACATCTGCCTCGCTTTGCGTTGGAGGAATTCACCACCGACTACTGCGACTCCATGACCAACACGGGTAATAAAATACTGGCTCCAATTCTGGTGGAAAATTGGCCAAAATTATAATAACTCAACTGATTACTAAATAAATCCGTGTGGTACAGGAACCTACAGCTGCCTCCGAGTTGACCTCCTCTTCAAGCGAGAGTTTTCCTACTATTTGATCCAGATTTACATCCCGTGTTGCATGTTGGTGATCGTGTCGTGGGTGAGCTTCTGGTTGGACCAGAGCGCCGTCCCGGCCAGAGTCTCCCTCGGCGTTACCACACTTCTCACCATGGCCACACAGACGTCCGGTATTAACCAGACCCTCCCACCCGTCTCCTATACGAAGGTGCGTCCCTTCACTTACGATGTGAAGATTAGTCTGAAAAATACGGCGTTTTTTTGCGGAATAAATTTAGCTCTTTTTTACCAACAATGGAGATCTATCAGCGTCTACTCTCAGATTTTGGTCAAACTGATCTCAATCGATCGCAAATTTAATTAGGGTAACATTTTTAGCCAACAGTAATGTGCACGTTTGGCAGATATATTTGCATCCACAAAGAGGGAAAGAGGGATACTAAACTTAATAAATTTTGCAGTTGGTAAATTTACTATTCGTTGTCTCCTCTATGGATGCGAACATCTCCGCTAAAAGTGAGGATTCGGAGATCGCGTACTTTGAAAATTTCACATTTATTAAATTCGTAATCGATTGATACTAATTTACTCAAAATCCGAGAGCTTTAATGCAGGCAAGATGTATATATTATGAGAATTTCATGTACAATTTGTTTTACTGCCCTGTTTCTCAAAACTATATCAAACTAAATAACACTTATTAAGTTGAACTTACTAATGAAAAATGTACCCCTTTTACATTCCATGTTTCTCCTTCGCCTCCCTTAACCCCAGGCGTTGGACGTGTGGACAGGTGTATGTCTCACCTTCGTATTCGGCGCCTTGCTAGAATTCGCCCTCGTCAACTACGCCTCTCGCTCTGACCAACACCGCGAAAATGTAAAAAAGCAACGCCGCCAGTGGGAGTTGGAGCAGGCCGCGGCCCTCGAGGCGGCCGCCGCCGTCGCGGCCGCCGACCACATGGAAGACGGGACCGCCGTCTTTGGCATGAAACCCATCGTGCGCCACCCGCGCGAAGCTTTAGCGTTGGATAAAGCCCGCCAATGTGAGATTCATATGGCCATGGCGCCAAAAAGGGAGGGTTGTGCACGCACGTGGCTTTCTAAATTCCCCTCAAGGTCGAAAAGGATCGATGTCGTGTCCAGAATTACGTTTCCGCTCATCTTCGCCCTCTTCAATTTAGCCTACTGGTGCGCCTACTTGCTACGAAAGGACGACTCTGAGACTCACAAGGACTAAAGGACATTTTTATTATAAATTTAACCCCCTATTCCTCCCCCCAGAAAGTGGGTCGAAAAAATATACAAAGTAAATTTTAAGCATGCAGGACTCCATAATTAATCACTCAAATCGTTAACATTCACACATTTTTAATCATTTCTCTAGTTTGAGAATTTATTATAAAATTTTGGATGACAAATTTGTAGTAAGTTGATTAATAAAATGGGAGTGAGTTTTTTTAAGTTAATTTCGATAAGTTACAATTTTTCGGAAGGATTCTTAAGCTTGAAATCTCCTCCAAAACCTGCCAAAATCCAGAGTGTATGTACATGTTTTCTTTTAATGGGCAACTATGTACACTACTACGTAATTCGTCTTCCAGAGTTTTTAAATTAATTCCCATAGAAATGATTAAAAATGTGCTGATTTTGACAATGAGTCCTCCGTTTCCCACACTCTCGCTCTCTTTTCCGGAGAAAGTTTGTCATTTCAGGTAGACAAGGACTTTTACTACTAAATAAAAATACTCAATAAGTCAGAATGGGGGATACATACTCAGTACATTCCATGCGTAGGGAGGGTCACGTGGTCACCATGTCGCGTAACCACAACAACGAGATTTTTCTATAATAAAGTGCGTAACTATGTATATGAAAAAAAGCTCTCCTTATTGACTAAACTATAGGTGCCAGAAAAAAAACATAATTGTGTTTGTCCTTTACTATCCCAAAATTTGTCTTATATGCCGAATAAATTTTTGAATAATATAGGTTCCCAGTAAAAATTCGAAAATCTTGTTTTGTCCCAAACTCCACAATTTTATAACGTGATTGGTGTGATTGATAAGTATTCGTGGTGCAAAATGTGGTCACGGTGCTCGCAACTAACTAAATATTTCCATTTTGTATCGCTTTAAAATTGTGAGATGTATGTATGAAATTTGTATCCAGATAGCACCGTTTTTCGTAATTTGGGTGGTACACAATTATGTCACGCCAAAATTGAATCTGCATTTTTGTACGAGGTAGAACCACTCAAAATCAAGTGTCACCACCCGATCTTCGTTCGCGTTAAGATTAATTTGTACTAAATAAATTGAATACTAAGGAGATTCGACACCGTACAAATACTGGAATTACATTACGCTAAGTATTAACCACTTCTCCCTGTGATCTACGTAATTAGGGTGTAAAAATAAATATGTATGTATGTAGTCGATTGAATGTATTTACCAGTAACACAATTTGGACTAGATGACGCATCACAAAAATAGTTAAAATCACCACATTTTTAATCATTTCTCAGCTCTGTAAATTTATTATAAAATTCTGAACAATTTGCAGCCCGTAATTTGCTTAATAGAAAAACGACGAGTTTTTCGAGCCCGCTTCGATGATCCAGAATTTTTCTGAAGGCTTCTCGAACTTGAGATGTCTTTAAAAAAGTGTCAAAATCTGGAGCGGATAATTTTTAAAGAATTTGAAACTAACTGCTGTACAAATTTGCCTTTCAGAAGTACAAAATAAATTCCCAGACGCGAGAAATGATTAAAATGTAATGATTTTGACTCTTTTGGCCATGAGCTGTCTAGTCCTATGTTAATAACGTGGAAAAAAGTTCGTCACGTATTTATTTAGCTGGCCAAATCCGCCATTATTTTCCCCATAATTATATAATTAATAAATTGTAGACGTAATTTTTTATAAAAATCTTTTCATCTAATCCCCTCTGAGAAATATTAAATCAAAATAAGTACATAATTTGTAATTGGTCTCTCTCTCTCTCTACATTAAATAAAATGAGAAATCCAAAAATTAAGAAATGCATCCAATTTTGTTGAAGAGTAGAGAAGCATATGTATGTATGTAAAAATCTCAAAAAATAATACTCACTTTACTCTAAATAATTAATTAACGGAGAGTAACGGTGCCCTGCCCTATCCTTGGTAACCTGCGCCATAGTTAAATAATAACATTGGCGCAAATTAGCAAAGATTCAAGAATAAGCCTAACCTTAACGGTTTCTTTGAAGATGACGAATTAATACAACTGTTTCTCACTTTCTTCATAAGTAAAACTCAAAGCCATTGCTCGTAAAGCTTAATTTAGGAAAAATATCTGTACGCATTGTGTGCCCCGTATGAATATTATAAGTTCATCCCAACCATGTACTAATTATGACAGCATTGAATTATTATAAATTATTATGAGATACAATAAACAAATAGTTACAGAGAGACGAATACTGATCATGCACATTAATGTATACATCATTTTATGCAGATTTTTTTTGAACGATAAATATTTCAGATTTCAGTCTACTAGTGTCTCTTTTTGTGCCCATAAAATTATTTTCATACGTGCATGACGCATAAAAATGCACAAATGTCCCCCATCTCGGACAAGTGAGAAAAAAGGACCCGGAGGCGGAGATCTTCGTCATCATCCCAAGCTCCGTCCTCAATTCGGACAAAATCAAAACGTTGTTCCTACTCCGAGGTGAACTTCGTCAAGGCGTTCCGACCGATTTTAAGAAAGAGTGACCTCGCCTTCGTCATCCTCAACTTATGCCGTGACCACCACGCAGGAGTCGACGGAAAAAAGTGGGTTAAAAATGTGAACCCATGGAGGAGAGGTGTCCGTACATTATTGATATCGGCTGTAATTTGTACAACTAAAGCTATGTTATATGTATATGTGCATACATAAATATACACAATTTTATTATTCTTCCCATGAAATCATATTACATACATTTAATTCGAAAAAGCTAAACGACCCGCGCCGTACATAAGTGTCCCTATCTGAATATTAAGACTGGAGGGAGGCTGGAGAAGAGAAGGCACGTCTTTTTTCTGCTCTCGTGGAATATAATTTTTGTGTCAAAGTTTTGAAAGTTACCGACCACCCCCACTTCTAAAAACTGGACTACTGCTTCCCCATTCGGCCCTCTGAAGTAGTGATAGTGAAAGTTGGGGTAAATTCGCTCACCCTGGTGACCTTGTAGGCCTTACCGGATTTTCGGCTTCTTTGACTGGACTTCCGCCCCTATTTTCACGAGTGAACTCGTTTGTCTCTTCCGTCACCAGTGCCTAATTTCATTGCGGAGGGTTCCACTACTCTGTTAGTGAAGGAGGGTAGTCCCTGCATCCCCAGGGCACGGCGCGGAGTTGTGAGTGACCGTGACCTGCGGGGTTGGCTATCCTCACGCACTTTAAGTGCCTAAATAAGGAAAGAAAGTTTTTCCTTCCGTTCCTTTTTTGTGTGATGCAACGTTTTGAAAGGAGCCCAATATACTAATATTTTTTTTTGGGTCCCTGCGTGAGTCCAATTGGTCTCTCTTCGCGCTCAGGGTTCGCTACAGGTCTACATGTCATCACGTGACGGGATTTCGGGTGACCCACCCGACAACGAGTCACAACCTTCGGGGGACGCGACGTCAGTGTCATCACGTCCAAGAGGCAGACCACGAAAATCGCTCATCGGCCCGGTCTTCTCAGCGATTGTGAATGGCGAGTCTGCGAGTGAAATGGTTCCTCCCGGGCCTCCTATTTATGTGAATGACGGCCCAGCACCGTTGGACACATCAATTCTCTCTGCCCCAGCACGCCGCCGTTCGTCGGTGTCGCCATCATCTCCTGGCGTGACAGAGAGACACTTTCGCCTCAGCGCGTCGATGGATTCAGGACTCCCTAATCCCGGACCAGAACTCAAAACTAAGGAAGTCGGATATATTCGCCCGCTATGCACTTTTCGTTGACCAATCGGGAGAGGGTGGAGTCGCCGAGACCACCCTCGGGAAATACATAAAGGAGTTATTCCCCAATGTCATGAGTCGTCGAAAGACTGGGGCAGACGCTCACACGTTTTTTGAGGGAATGCGGTGGATGGATTCGCCAGCCTCGGAGACAATGTCGCAGGATTGGGGGTAAGTCCTTTCTCGCCTCAAGATGACCACACCCACACTACGAAGAGTACCAAAAGGGGCCAGAAAAGAAGTGGCGCGGGCCCTCACTAAGGTCTTAGAGGAGGTGACCACTGCCAACACCGAAGAAGTATGGGGAAAGCTCTTTCTGTTCCCCTATGCGTGTCTTCCTGTCCCCCAGAAGACCGATAAGGTGAAGAATTTGACAACATGGGTCAAGTCACGGGTTGCTAGGTGGCTAGTGGACCAGACCGCCCCCCCGCCACGACAAAAACGACCTCCCGCCAAGCCCCCTCGAGTGATTGAGAGTGTCGCCAAGAAAGTTGAGGCCAAGTTGGCAGATGGCGATGTCCGGGGAGCAATTCGACTTGCCTGCTCAGATGACACGATTGCCCCCATGACCCAGGAAACGATTGATGCGCTAATCGCCAAGCACCCGCCACATCCGGAGCCTACAAATTATCCCGTACCGCCAAAGAATTCAGTGGAACCAGCAGCGGTGGAGGTGCTTGAGGTCACTACAGCCATCGCAAGCTTCCCGCCAGGATCGGCGGGAGGTCTGGACTCCCTCCGCCCACAAATTTTGAAAGATATTGTCGCGGTAGAACAAGGAGAAGCAGGGACTAATCTAATCGACGCCCTGCTTAATTTTATAAATGTTCTTCTCAGAGGGAGTGTACCGGTCTCTTTCTGCCCCATTTTCTACGGGGCTTCCCTCACCGCCCTAAAGAAGAAGACGGGTGGAATTCGGCCCGTGGCGGTTGGAAATATGTGGCGACGTCTTCTAAAATTGCTGTTACCAGGATGTCGTCCCGCCTGACGGAATACCTCGCACCACATCAGCTGGGGGTGGGGACAAAGGGAGGAGCAGAAGCAGCGGCACATGCGGCCCGCATTTACTGGGGCCACAAGCACACAGCAGCCAAGGCCTTCTTGAAATTGGATTTCTCAAATGCTTTTAATGAGATTCGGCGGGACACGATTCTTAGCATTATTCTTCAAAGGTTCCCCTCAATGTTCAGTTTTTTATCGCAGGCTTACTCCTCCCCATCTCAACTATTTTATGGGGACACACCCATCTCCTCCCGCCGCGGGGCCCAACAAGGAGATCCGATAGGTCCCGCACTTTTCGCCCTGGTCGTCCAGCCCATCATCCTTGCTATCGAAACTGAGCTGAATCTGTGGTACTTGGATGATGCCACTCTAGCGGACACTCCAGAAAAAGTTCTCGAGGCATTAGATACAATTGTTCGCATGGGAGCGGACGTCGGGCTTCTTCTCAATACCGCCAAATGTGAGGTTGGTGTGCTTGGAGCGGACGACCATACCCGCTCTAAAATTTTGGAGCGGTTCCGACAGGCGGCGCCAGGGATACAGGAGATATCCCCCGCAACCGCCGTCCTGCTTGGCGCCCCGCTTACTGACGAGGCCATCGAGTCGGTGGTGGGGACAAAGACCGACCAACTTGCCAAACTGGGCGCCCGACTCCTTGAACTCTCCTCCCACTCTGCGTTTTTCCTCCTTCGGGCGTCCATCTCTACACCCCGCCTTATTTATTTTTTGCGGTGTGCCCCGACTTGGCGGAGATTCGACGCCCTCACCCTGTATGACGCCAAACTCAAGGAGTCAATGGAGGGGATCCTCAACTGCTCACTTTCCCCGCAATCTTGGCTTCAGTCCTCCCTTCCCGTCGGCGATGGCGGCTTGGGGGTTAGGCACGCTGTAGACGTGGCGATTCCGTGTTTTCTCGCGTCCGCTTACAGTGTCCTCCCCCTTGTAGAACGCCTACTCCCGCCATACCTCCATGGCACCGACACCGCATTGCAAGAAGGAGAAGAGCGATGGAATCCAATGGGACCCGCAGAATTTCCCCCGCCGGAAGTTAGAGGTTTTCAGGCCTCGTGGGAGGTGCCTCAGCAAGAGGCCGCTATCAACCACCTCAGAAATAGAGCATCTACTCCAGAGGATAAAGCTCGTCTCCTTGCCATGGGACAACCGCATGTGGGGGCGTGGCTCAATGCCGTACCTTCGCCACAACTTGGGACGCTACTCCCAAATGAGACGTTTCGCATCGCTTGTGCCCTCCGTCTTGGATGCGACGTCTGCCACTCCCATAAATGTCCATGCGGAGCTATAGTCACATCAAAAGGCTACCATGGCCTGAGCTGCAAAAGTAGTGCGGGGCGTCATTCCCGCCATGCCGCAGCAAATGACGTGATTTGGAGAGCTCTTCGTTCCGCCGGAGCCCCCACCATTAAAGAGCCAGCCGGTTGTTCCCGGCCAGACGGGAAGCGCCCTGACGGACTGACATTGGTTCCATGGGCAAGAGGGCGGCCCCTGGTATGGGACTTTACGTGTGTCGACACTTTTGCACCGTCTTACCTCCCCCAAACCTGTGTTCATCCTGGTGCGGCAGCCGAGAAGGCTGAGGACAGGAAGATGAAAAGATACGAAGACCTTCTGGACAGATTCCTCTTTGTTCCCGTAGCCGTTGAAACAACTGGAGTATGGGGCAAGGAGGGCCTGTCCCTTATCAAAGAAATAGGGACAAGGATCACAGCCCTCACGGACGAGAAGAGGGCAACGAATTTTCTCATCCAAAGAATTAGTATTGCAGTTCAACGCGGAAATGTGGCCGCGATTTTAGGATCTCTGCCAGCAGGACGAGAGCTGGATAAGGTTTTTTATCTTTAGGACGACAACAATTAGAGGAATTTTTTTTAAATATTCAGATAGGGAAATTTATGTACGGCGCTGGTCGTTTAGCTTTTTCGAAATAAATGTATGTAAAATGAACATGGAAAGAACAATAGCACCAACATAAAATAGTTTTTCAATCTACTAAATAAAAATTGCACACAATTGTCCCCCTATAATCTCATGAATAAAGGTATCTGAATATTAAAAAAATTCTTCTAATTGTTGTCCTAAAGGTAAAAAATCTCATCCAGATCTTGTCCTGCTGGGAGAGACCCTAAAATCGCGGCCACATTTCCGCGTTGAACTGCGATACTTAGGGCCGAATTACTAATGAGCACTAGGTTTTAAGTGAGGGGTCGCCCTTACTTGAGTAAGGTCTAAGGTGAGAGGACCCTCAGACTCAATTTCATATTACTAATGAAAAGTCGGGGTTTACTCAGCTGAGTAAGGTGAAAGCCCACACTCAGCCCACACTCAGTCCACACTCAGCCGCTTTTGCAGCTGATTATTATTTATTTATTTCTCCGATTATGCTATATTTTTCACTAATTTTAATTAACTCGTGCTCATATCTACTTAATTGTGTTTAAGCTAGTCGTAGCATTTCGTCATGAGTGACGATGAGGATAGTTTTCCGGAAATAGGAGGTGATTACACGAAGTCGGACGTAAAAAAGAAGCCGACCTCATTCACCGAGTCCGAGAAAGTATTGCTTCTCGAGTTGGTGTCATCGAAACGCCACGTATTGGAATGCAAACGATCAGACCCTTTGACGATAATTAACAAGCAGGCCGCGTGAACCGAATTGGAAGGAAGCTTCAACTCGTCCACCGACGTTATTAAACGTACTGCTGCCGAGTTAAAACGAGCTTGGGAAAACCTGAAAAGCCGGGCGAAAACTGGGGTTAGTTATTATATAATAATTACACAATGCTATCAATGATTTAAGAACTCGTGCTAAATCGTTTTTCATCTCATTATAGAAAGCAAAAGCTGTTCGATGTAATACTATATTACCTGCAAATATTATGCAATACCGCTACTGCTACAATCACAGTCATTGACGTTTGAAGCTTTAACCGTAAGTGATTCAGGCATGGGAAACGACGTTTCCACACACCTAAGGCGCTTTCTACTGTATTTCTGGTTTTATCTGTGGTTTGTTCTACCGACGTGGAGCAGGTGTGACCGGGTTCCTTAGCGGGACCATTAGGTACTGGAAAAATTGTTCTCGAACTAGTGGGGCTTCTGCATGAGTTGGAAAACGGATAAATCGCCGAGACATTTTTGCAATCGCTCGAGACACCCTCCTAATCACGTTCGACACTGTGGCCTGGAAAACCGTCAAATTGTCTCCGACAGGGATTTGAAAAGATCCCGTAGCGTAAAAGTTCAAGGCGATAAGGACCAGGTGTAAATGAGGTATGCTGGCAACACGACGGACTGGAGCAGAAAGATCGGTTTTTACAAGCTCAAAAACAAACAATACAGTCCGTTTTGCCAAGTGAAACCGTCTCTTGAATGCTTCTTCATGGTACACCTCAATTCGCACGGTCGCGGAGACGAGGTCGGAAAATGTTTTGAAGCCGTTGTCGACACTGAATTCGACTCTCGAAACGTTCAAGATGGTCAGACATTATGAAATAGTGCTGCTGTTGTGAAAAAAACCTGAATTTTTAACCAAAATGAAGTTTTATATCGTGCTAAGTGAACCCCAGAGCTCCCTTAAATTTTTAAGTATTTATTTGCACTCAAGATCAGTAAATGCGTCAAAGTTGCCATTAGTAATATGGACGTGAGTGAGAGGGTCCATTTTACCGAAAAGTTAAGGGCTCACTTGAGCTCAACTTTAAGTATGCATTATTAATATGAAAAGTACCGAGGTAAGGGTACACTCACGCTCAAACTCACCAAAGTGCTCATTAGTAATTCGGCCCTTATTCTCTGAATGAGAAAAGGCGTTACCCTCTTCTCGTCCGTGAGGGCTGTTATCCTTGTCCCTATTTCTTTGATAAGGGACAGGCCCTCTTTGCCCCATACTCCAGTTGTTTCAACGGCTACGGGGACAAAGAGGAACCTATCCAAAAGATCTTCGTATCTTTTCATCTTCCTGTCCTCAGCCTTCTCGGCTGCCGCACCAGGATGAACACAAGTTTGAGGTACGGTATAGGTAGTACGGTGCGAACGTGTCGACACACGTAAAGTCCCATACAAGGGGCCGCCCTCTTGCCCATGGAACTAACGTCAGTCCGTCCGGGCGCTTCCCGTCTGGCTGGAACAGCCGGCTGGCTCTTTAATAGTGGGGGCTCCGGCGGTACGAAATGCTCTCCAGATAACGTCATTTGCTGCGGCATGGCGAGAATGACGACCAGCACTACTCTTGCAGCTCAGGCCTCTTGATGTGACCATAGCTCCGCATGGACATTTGTGGCAGACTTCGCATCCAAGACGGAGGGAACAAGCGATGCGAAACGTCTCATTTGGGAGTAGCTATGTTATGCATAGTCTTCGCATTGGCCATAAGTCTTAGCATTGGCCATAAGTCTTAGCATTGGCCATAGGTCTTAGAATGGGCCATAAGTCTTAGCATGGGTCATAAGTCTTAGCATCGGCCATAAATCTTAGCATGGGTCATAAGTCTTACGGCTACATTCCTAATGACACAAAAATCCCGACTTACACTCACACTTTGCTGAGTGTGAGTGTGAGGATCGATTCTCCACTCAACTCATTTGGTATTCTTAATGAAAATTAACCTCCACTCAGATTTTGTGAGCGGAGTCTCCAATTTGTGAGCTGAGTCGAGATTTTTGAGTGGGACTTTCAACTTTACTTGCAAAATAAAATTTGCCTTCAAGTTCCCAAGTAAATAATGAGACTTATGGTCCATGCTAAGACTTATGGACCATGCTAAGACTTATAACCCATGGTAATCCTTATGGCCCATGGTAATCCTTATGGCCCATGGTAATCCTTATGGCCGATGGTAATCCTTATGGCCCATGGTAATCCTTATGGCCCATGGTAATCCTTATGGCCCATGGTAATCCTTACGGCCCATGGTAATCCTTATGGCCCATGGTAATCCTTCTCGCACTTGGTAATCTTCTCGTCCATGGTAATCCTTCTCGCCCATGGTAATCCTTCTCGCCCATGGTAATCCTTCTCGCCCATGGTAATCCTTCTCGTACATGGTAATCCTCCTCGCCCATGGTAATCCTTCTCGTACATGGTAATCCTTCTCGCCCATGGTAATCCTTCTCGCCCATGGTAATCCTTCTCGCCCATGGTAATCCTTCTCGCCCGTGGTAATCCTTCTCGCCCATGGTAATCCTTCTCGCCCATGGTAATCCTTCTCGCCCATGGGAATCTTCTCGCTAAGTGGGAATCTTTCTCGCCCATGGCAATCCTTCTCGCCCATGGTAATCCTTCTCGTCCATGGTAATTTTTTCTCTCCCATGGGAATCCTTCTCGCCCATGGTAATCCTTCTCGTCCATGGTAATTTCTTCTCTCCCATGGGAATCCTTCTCGCACATGGTAATCCTTATCGCCCATGGGAATCTTCTCGCTAAGTGGGAATCCTTCTCGCCCATGGCAATCCTTCTCGCCCATGGTAATCCTTCTCGATCATGGTAATCCTTCTCGCCCATGGTAATCCTTCTCGATCATGGTAATCCTTCTCGCCCATGGTAATCCTTCTCGCCCAAGGTAATTGTTCTCGCCCATGGTAATCCTTCTCGCCCATGCTAATCCTTCTCGCCCATGCTAATCCTTCTCGCCCATGCTAATCCTTCTCGCCCATGCTAATCCTTCTCGCCCATGCTAATCCTTCTTGCCCATGGTAAGACTTGTGGCCAATGGTAAGACTTATGGCCAATGGTAAGACTTGTGGCCAATGGTAAGACTTGTGGCCAATGTTAAGACTTATGGCCAATGGTAAGACTTATGGCCAATGGTAAGACTTATGGCCAATGGTAAGACTTGTGGCCAATGGTAAGACTTATGGCCAATGGTAAGACTTATGGCCAATGGTAAGACTTATGGCCAATGGTAAGACTTGTGGCCAATGGTAAGACTTATGGCCAATGGTAAGACTTATGGCCAATGGTAAGACTTATGGCCAATGGTAAGACTTATGGCCAATGGTAAGACTTGTGGCCAATGGTAAGACTTATGGCCAATGGTAAGACTTGTGGCCAATGGTAAGACTTATGGCCAATGGTAAGACTTATGGCCAATGGTAAGACTTATGGAAAATGGTAAGAATTATGGCCAATGGTAAGACTTATTACCAATGGTAAGACTGATGGCCAATGGTAAGACTTATGGCCCATGGTAAGACTTATGGCCAATGGTAAGACTTGTGGCCAATGGTAAGACTTATGGCCAATGGTAAGACTTGTGGCCAATGGTAAGACTTATGGCTAATGGTAAGACTTATGGCCAATGGTAAGACTTATGGCCAATGGTAAGACTTATGGCCAATGGTAAGACTTATGGCCAATGGTAAGACTTATGGCCAATGGTAAGACATGTGGCCAATGGTAAGACTTATGGCCAATGGTAAGACTTATGGCCAATGGTAAGACTTATTGCCAATGGTAAGACTTATGGCCAATGGTAAGACTTATGGCCTGTAGACCCCCAACAAACGTTGGGGTCCTGTAGACCCTGTGAAAGAGCAGGTTTGGTCAACTTCATTAATGCCAAACCCCTTAATTAGTATGCCACTCACCTCCATCATCTCTTACAAACAAGAGACAATGTTGCAAACCAGCTTCGTCACAACCTCATCTGAGATATCTCTATTCAGCGTGGCCAACTGGTTCATAATCGGTCAACACATAGGTATCAATTAGGTATTGCTAGGATATATAAGCGAAAGCGCAGCCACCAGACGGGGGGACGGTGGAGGACGGGTCGAGGAAGTATTTTGTGCTACTGCATCTTACAATATTATTGGGAGAGGCCGAGTTCTGCCTGTTATACAAGT